CTGTACAAAACATAAATCTGAAAATTCAAGGCATCAGACAATGAAAGAACTGTACAGTGATGAGTCCAACCAGGAAGTTTTTTTAATGAATTTTGTAGGCCCTGTTGTAGAGCCTAACTATGGGTTCTAAGATTTCATTTGTTGTAGGAGACCAAACAGGTTTTATAGAGTAAATAACCAAAAGTTAAACTAGGACCTAGTGTCATGCAACCAGCTGAATAAGTTGTTTTCTTCTGTTCTCAGGAGTGTTTTCCAGACTGTGTGTGTGAGGATTCCTACAACAACACGTACGCCTGCGTCAGAACCCTGAACGACCAGAACCTGCAGTACTGCGAGTTCGCCGACAGCGAGGTGGTTTTCAGCATAACGACCTGTGTTGTTTTAGTGGAAGCAACGGACGTTAAAAGGTTCTCTGTGTGGTTCTGTCTCCTCAGTCGTTTGTGGAGATGTACAACTTGTCGTCCGACCCGCACCAACTGGAGAACATTGTGAAGAAGGTGGACCCGTCCATCCTGCAGACCATGAACCAGCGCCTCATAAAGCTGCAGTCCTGTGTGGCCAGCAGCTGCCGCGACTACAGCTGAAGAGCCTGCTGGCAGTTTAGACATTTTGACTCATTTTAGAAGAAAAAATATAATAGAATCTGTCGTGACTGAGTGTCATTTAGTCGTTTTTTTAAATAAAATCATTCCTCCTTTTGTTTGTAGAGCAGATTTGAAGCTACTGGTTAGCTTAGCTTAGCCTAAAACCAGGACGTGAAACAGTTAGCCTGCCGTTAGCAAGATAAAACAAAGGTAAAATAAGGTGTGTTGGTTATTTCACACACCAGCAGTAATAAACACCTGATGAATCAACAATTAGTTGTTTTTATATCCAGTCATAAAACATTTAGTTAGTTATTTCCTTTTTAATGAGCCAAAATGTCTGAGCTGTGCTCATTTAAAATGTTTTTACTCAGAGCTCACACTTCTTCTTCACACTGTAACATCTTTTACAAACAAACTGCACTAAACTTTCAGGATGACCTCTGTTTTAAATCAAACATGGAGGGTTTATTCTGAACACATACAGAACCAAAGATTTAATGGTACTGTCACTGATCCAATCAGCTGTTTGCACACGGAGTTACTTCATGAATCACAGTTTCTGGACTTCTGATGACAAGCTTTGTGCCATTTCTGTTTTTTTAGCAGCTGGTTAGCTTAGCACTTAGCATTTAAAGTGAATACAGGAAGAGTTTTGTTCTTTAAAACTTAACAGGGTTTTTTTTAGCTCTGGTTTCAAACTTTCATTTCTTCTGCGTTGTTTTCAAAACGATATTTAAGAGTATGTGTATTATATCTACAACAGTCCTGAGTGGGCACACTGTCCCACGTTCAGTGTTTGCTGTCCTGAGTGGACACGCTGTCTTCTGTTCAGTGTTTGCTCCCTGAGCAGCAGAGGTTATATACAGTAATCTGTGAATCTGTGAGATAAACTGAGATTATTTCATGTCTTTTCTGACTGTGAGAAATTAAAAAGGGAGCTTCTATGTGTAGGTGCTGAAGATAATCATTTTTAATTCTTTGTGCCTTGTTTTTTGCACTGGTGAAGTGCACGTGCCTTGAATGTGAAGAGATTTGCACTGTCAAGATTTAATGATTGAAAAAAAAGACATTAAATAAACTGGTTGTTGTTACTCAGAACAAGGACAGTTTGAAATGAGTAATCAAGAGAAATAAAAACCGTTTGATGGTTTTTCAAACAGGTGATGCCTAAAAGAGTCACACGGTGAAACCAACTTCCTGTTTCTTTTACTTTGAAAACCAAAAGATTCTTAGAAATGAGAACAGCTTTTTGAAATGAGCACTTTTAGTCACAGAAAACTGATTTGCAGGAACTGAAATCTTAACTTAGTTACAAAACGTACTTTGTTCAAAAATCAAATTAAAAATTCGGAGCTCAAACAGAACTGTTCAATGCTTCTTTTATTAAAATTACATTTAAATGCAGCTCAGCTGATAACGCTTCAGCAAATATTAGCAGTACACATCATCAAATGTACTTGTACACAGTTGTACTGGACAAAGTCTGTATCACTAACTTGACGGGACTTTTGTAGAGGTACGACAGCAGCACCTCGGAGTATCCGATCAGGAAGTACATCTTCTGAGGGCTAAGCTTCTGCAGAAAAAAGCTGCACACGATGATCATGTTGCCGCGCCTTTTGATGACGATCTCGTCGGCCAATAGGCCGTGGAAGGTCCCGAACATGAACTTCCTGATGAAGACGTCCTCCACGGTGCGCTCGGCCGCGCCCCCCTCTCCTCTCAGGTTACCTGTCAGAGTCAAATATTCTGAGTCCAGATCTGCATCATCACATTTTTATTTTAATTGTTTTACAGCCTGGAATTTTACTGAACTTTTAATTAGATTATAAGAGATAATTCTACATGAATACTTCAAACAGTTAAAGTT